TCGAACCCAGTAGGCAGGGAAGGAGAAAAAGAAAAAAAGAAAAAGAAGGGAAAAAAGAAGATAAGGGTATTTTGGTAACTTCAAAAAAATATAAAAAATTAAAGATAAGGGATAATTGTGTAATTTTAAGGATAAAATGCCAACTCATACACTTTTACATGTAGTTTTTCCATGTCATTAGTTGAAAAAAAAAAGCTTGATTTCGTGGCAACTTAACGTGCCATCTGGCACTTCCGTCGACAGAAGAACAAAAATGGTTCCAAAAATTGAAGTTTAGGGATTTTTTTAGTACTTTTTTTAGTTTGAGGGTATTTTTAGTCCAAAAATGAAAGTTCAGGGACTGAATCGGGGATATAACCAAAAGATAATAATAGGTAGGAGAGGATGAAAATATGACTAATTAGAGTAAAAAATGACAACTCATTAAAATTTAACGTATTTTTTTCCACGTCATTAGTAAAAAAAGAAGAAGAAGAAGATAGATTTCGTAACCATTTAAGAAGTGATACATCCAGAGTTGACTATAAATGATCAAAATTCAACTTCCAAATTCCAGAGAGTTGACAATATCCTGGTGTAAGGTATAGTTGACTCTCTATGTAAAAAGTCAACTCTTGAGCAGTAAAGAGTCGAATCTATGATGATAGATTCAACTTTTGAGCCTTCGAGAGTCAACTATATAAGCTCAACATTTGACTCCTAAATTTTAGAGAGTTGTGAACATCCTGGAGCATGGCATTGTCAACTCTCTATGTAAAAAATCGATTCTTGAACAGTAAAGAGTCAACTCTAAAAATCTAAATTTGATTTTTAAGCCTTTAAGAGTCGACTATATAAGGTCAGCATTCGACTCTCAAATTCCAAAGAATTGAGAACGTTATGGGTGCTCAGTATAGTTGACTTTCTTTGTTAAGAGTTGATTCTTAATTTAAAAAGTCGACTATTGGCCAAAAAAATTGACATAATTTTATGTGAAATGTCTATGTAGCCTTATATGTGTCATAACTCAAATTTTTAATGAAATTTTTATTTTTAATAATTTTTTTAATTTTTGTTTTCCTTGTTAGGTTCGCGAGCAAAAATGGGATTTTATGAAGAGGATTGGAAAAGAAGATTAGAGAAGGACTCAGTTGAAGAAATGAAAAGTTGGAGGGATGAAGTTCATCAAGACAAATTTACAAACCCAACCCAAATCTCAATAATGAGCCCATTAAAGCCAAACCCAATCCAACACCAACCCAAAAGGCCACCGGCAACCATCTTCTTTCTCCTTCTCCTTCTACAATCGTCGGTTCCTTTCTTTTGATCTCACCATCTCCGACTCCCTTCCACATCAAAGCCCTTGGTTGTAGTCAATCGGGAAGCCATCACCCACACTCACCTTCTCGAACCACTGCCGCAGTCCAACATCACCTACGCTCGGCGAGTGAACAGCAGAATAGGAGCAAATGAAGCCGGATCTATTGGTTGGTGACGGAGGTGCTATTCACGCGATGACGCCGAGAAGAAGCTTCCTGAGAACTCCCAGTTTGACTGCAGATCTGATCAGTTTCTGTTCAGATCATTCTTTCAGCTAAAAGGGGATTCGATATGGGCTGTTTTTCTGCATATCAAGGCTCAAAATCACATTTCAAAAGTCCGGGATATTTAGATCCAAATGGGCAGTTCCAACGAGTATTGGCCTATTGAGTGTTTTAGATTCTAGGGTTTTCCCTTACTTGGGAGGAAAAGCCTACTTTTGAGCCCCTCACCTTATCAAGTTTAAAAGATTTTAACGCCTCTTCTTAATTTATAATTTTTAAGTCCTCACACTTACACTTTATATTAGTTCACTTTTAGCTATTTACTTATTAAAATTTTAAAATTGAAGAAAATATTTTTTATTTTGTAATATTTTATTAATTGATTATAAATTTTGTTAATTGATT